CGGTCACCCGCTCGGTGCGTGATCGCATTCTTCTTAGAATAAAAACCTGTGACAAACAGCAACAACAAAAAACAGTTCTCGAAGGTTCGAAATCAGAAAAACTTGTTATTTAGATCGGCAGAGCGCGAGTTTCCACGGTCGGTCGATTTAGTCTGCCTACGACAACGATTCGAGCTGGTCGATAGCAATCGATCATAGTTTCGAATATCATCATTTCTCGTATGATATTCTTTCGTGTCTTATTCTCGCTCGTGTCGCGTACGCAGTAGGCTTACTCGTCTCATATTCGCTCCGAATTGTCTCGCATAATATCGCATTCATATTCTCGCGGCGAGCAATTTGGTCACATCTCAATTCGTGTTCTTTCATTATTTAGTGCTCAGATATTGTGAAAGTTAATTGTTTGGAGTTCGAGAGTCGACGCTCGTTATCCGCATCGCGAATGTCCTCTGCCTCGCGCTAAATTCCATCCAGCGTTCGCGGTCAAGATTTCCGTTTTCGCGAGAGTTTCTAGCAAAAAGCTCTTCATCAAGATTTCCGAATCGCGAAAAAGGGGCAATCATTAACAGGATATTTTGAAGACATCCGTCGGATTAGCGGAATACGTGCCGTCGCTCGCTCCTATTATTCAAAATAAACAAATAGTTAAAACAATCTGCACTCGACTCTTCTCTCAATCTCCTTATCCTCCAGCGGATCTACGGATTCGCGTTACACACCGCTTCTCGCTCATCTCTGAGCGTTTCTCTCAGTTTCGGGCGATCTCGTCGAGATCGACTCCCGAACAATATATATCTCTCATTTGTAATTCAATGTGAAATCAGTTAGGTCTCTCAAACCTGAAATGAAAAAAATATATATTAAGACGTTTTTGAAAATATATTATTTCCATATAAAATGAAGTCACATTTATATAATTCACGTGTTGAAAATACATATATAAAATACTAATAAAAAATGTATCAATATCTAAAACCGGAAATAAAAAGAATATTAGAATTTCTTTAAATACATCATTTCCATATGCAATTGTATTATATTTACATAACCCATGTATTAAAAGCGCATATCAAATACGTTGTGAAGGATAAATGCAAAAATTTGCAAAACTTAGAATAATTATATATTAAATATCAGACAAATCAACATGGAAGATGCGTTGCCGGAGAAGAAATTTCTAGAGAGGAATTCGCTGCTCACCGATCTCTTTGAGATCACGCATATTCGTACGGTTTATAATCTATTCATGGTGACTTTTATATTGTTTTTCCTCCACACTGCTGTAAATGACATCATAGAGTCTGGAACGTAAGTAAAATCATTAAGTTCGATATCTAACAAAACGAAAAATTATTGCTCCGGAAAATCCATATTTGATATGATTCTAAATATAATAAATTTTGCTTTATATTTTAAATTTTTTCATATTCTTAATCTTAAACTTTTTATACGCATATTATGATGCCGTTTAAAAGCTTGGCATGAATTTAATTTTAATGGCAGATTTTTCGATTTAACGAGAAGCGTTTCTTATTTTTAGCGAAAACTTAAAAATCACCAAGAAAAAAACTGTTTATCAAAAATTTTAATTCTCAACGGTATATATCTTTTAATCGAAGTGAAAATTGAAAATTTTATCGAAATAATATTATTTTCATTTAATTTAAAAAGATGAAAATAAAGTAAAAAGATGAAAATAAAGTAAGTGTTTAAATATTATTAAAATATGTATGAAAAATTATATTTATTAAAAAGGACAATTTTATTCTTTATATTTCATTATGAAACTTAATATACTTTTCAATCGTGTATAATTTTATTAAATACGCCAAGTTGTATCGATTCCAAATTTATCTAAAAAATGCAGAAATTAAAGTCACGTTTTATGACAAGCTCTATGTATTAAATTAATGATTTTATTTATCGTTTTGATAAGGAACACTGGAATTATCTGAAGAGCAACGAATTATCGCGATTAAAATAAATGGTACACAAAATGAATAATCTTCGTCTCATAATTGCATCTAAAGAGCTATTCACGAGCTAAGATGATAATTGAGAAACTTTTCGGTTGTTACAAAATTGTACAAAATTTCTTATTTATATTTATTCAAGGCTGCTCCTCGGGACTGTTACGATACGGAAAGGTTTCACGAATTTACCAACTTGTCTCTACATTTGGTCGCTCATGCAAATCTCGACGCTCGGTGTCTACGTTGCTTTCAATTTCTGGTCTCACTCACGACTACAACGCTTGCCAAAATGTAATGATTTCTTTCATTCTGTGTGTGTGTGTGTGTGTGTGTGTGTGTGTGTGTGTGTGTGTGTGTGTGTGTGTGTGTGTGTGTGTGTGTGTGTGTGTGAAAATGTAACCTAAAATAATTGATCAGTTTTTTACCATATAATATGATATTAATAATAGTACAATATAAAAGTATAATAACTAACACAATCTAGAATAATTATAAGAATTATCAAACAATTCCAATTAAAATTATCTTTATAATTTAACTAGTAATATTTTCCATTTTTACAGATCTTATTGCCCGAAAACTATGGGATTACGGTTGGCTGACAATCTTCATAATGTATCAAGTCCTGTTTATAATTTTTCCTAATAGAGCAATAAACAGAGAGAATCTAGGCGTAGCTTGCAATATAGCCTTACTTTTGGAACAAGTAATTAAAATTTTAATCTTATTCGAAGTTCTCTCTCCCGTCCCACATAAAATATTTTTGACAATAAAAATAATTCTTTAATTTTACAGAAGATATATTAGAATAATAATAGAAAAGTTGAATATTTTACGCCCAATATATCGTATTAAAAATTATAAATATAATAACAATGATTTAACCTTTCTTCATTTAAACGGACATTTGCTTTTTCAGTTACGTCTGATCATGAAACATCATGCTTTCGTTAGGAGCGTGGCACCCAGATTTTTATCATACAAACCCCATAGCGATATTTCACCGCCGAGTGGACCTCGATTTTCGCAATACTTGTATTTCCTGTTCGCGCCGACTTTGATATACCGCGATGAATATCCAAGGTAAACAATTTCTCGATAAATCTCTCCATAAATAAGAAAAAGTCCTTGAAACTTAATCTTTAAGAATCCTCAATCTCTCTCTCTCTCTCTCTCTCTTCAATAATCTAAATTTTTAACTTTGCTATTACATTTTGTAGACACTCCATAATGTTGCTTTTGATGGAGTTGTACTATATTAATATAAAACAAAAAACTTTTAAAGTATTTTGAGATGTATAAAGAATTCTTAATCTTTTCTAATAATTCAAATTTTTAAATCAATTAGAACAAACGATATCTTAATTCAATAATGGGTTGCCATTTCGACATAATATCGTATAATTGAAAAACTCAAGAAAGATTCGCGCGGTTTATTTTTCAGGACAAAAAAGATCAGGTGGAAATTCGTGATTCAAAATTTCGCCCAAGTCGGCCTAATGATCTTCTATTTCGCCTTTATCCTGGAGCAATTTGTGACGCCGGTCTTTTATACCTTTGGTACACAGCCTTTCGAACCAATGTGGTTCGTCAAGAATATTATCGACGCGAGCATTCCCGGGGTCCTCGTTTTCATCTCCGGGAACTATCTTCTGCTGCACGCGTGGATGAATGCCTGGGCGGAGATGCTGCGATTCGCTGACCGGTTGTTTTATAAGGCGAGTCTCACTTATATACATGTTCGCTAGATTGCCATTCAATGAAAATATCTCACGACCAAAAATTTCTATTAAATCATACCAATGGTCGATTCTTGGTAACTTCTTCAGGCTGTTGTCAAAATAATCGGTTTATAAATTATTCGTCGGTTGCAGGATTGGTGGAACTCCACGTCCTACCGCATGTATCATCGCACGTGGAACGTGGTGGTCCAAGACTGGCTCTACGCGTACATCTACAAGGATATGTACGAGATCGTGGTGCCGCGCAACAAGTCGCTCGCGACCTTCACCGTATTTCTCATATCAACCATCTGGCACGAATATATCTTTGCGTTCACGTTCCATTTCTTCTACCCAGTGTTCTTGATTGTTTTCGGCGTATCCTTTATTCTAATCTTGTGCAACGTCTTCAACAACATCAGCATGTGGGTGAGCTTCTGTATCGGCAACGGCATTCTGGTCAGCCTGTATGCGACAGAATATTATGCCCGTTACAACTGTTCGCCATATTCCGATCACTATGCGGACTTGCTTCTACCGCGAAGCTGGAGCTGCCAGAGGCAACTTGCCGTGTAGGGTGTTCATCTTCCAGCGATGAATTCTTTTCGCGGGATAATTTATTTACCGTTTCAGAGAAACTATTAGCGGGGAATTCATCTCGAAGTGTAAAGTGACGGAGAAGCTCTCCGCTATTATTGTACATATGTTAATATGATTAATTAATTATTATGCATAATTACCGGCAAATATATTTAATTATTGATTTTGTTAAATTTAATAAATTTCATATGTATCATTATAATATAATATACAATAATATTTATATAAAAATTATGAAATATTACATTTTGTAGACACTCCATAATGTTGCTTTTGATGGAGTTGTACTATATTAATATAAAACAAAAAACTTTTAAAGTATTTTGAGATGTATAAAGAATTCTTAATCTTTTCTAATAATTCAAATTTTTAAATCAATTAGAACAAACGATATCTTAATTCAATAATGGGTTGTCATTTCGGCATAATATCGTATAATTGAAAAACTCAAGAAAGATTCGCGCGGTTTATTTTTCAGGACAAAAAAGATCAGGTGGAAATTCGTAATTCAAAATTTCGCCCAAGTCGGCCTAATGATCTTCTATTTCGCCTTTATCCTGGAGCAATTTGTGACGCCGGTCTTTTATACCTTTGGTACACAGCCTTTCGAACCAATGTGGTTCGTCAAGAATATTATCGACGCGAGCATTCCCGGGGTCCTCGTTTTCATCTCCGGGAACTATCTTCTGCTGCACGCGTGGATGAATGCCTGGGCGGAGATGCTGCGATTCGCTGACCGGTTGTTTTATAAGGCGAGTCTCACTTATATACATGTTCCTTAGATTGCCATTCAATGAAAATATCTCACGACCAAAAATTTCTATTAAATCATACCAATGGTCGATTCTTGGTAACTTCTTCAGGCTGTTGTCAAAATAATCGGTTTATAAATTATTCGTCGGTTGCAGGATTGGTGGAACTCCACGTCCTACCGCATGTATCATCGCACGTGGAACGTGGTGGTCCAAGACTGGCTCTACGCGTACATCTACAAGGATATGTACGAGATCGTGGTGCCGCGCAACAAGTCGCTCGCGACCTTCACCGTATTTCTCATATCAACCATCTGGCACGAATATATCTTTGCGTTCACGTTCCATTTCTTCTACCCAGTGTTCTTGATTGTTTTCGGCGTATCCTTTATTCTAACCTTGTGCAACGTCTTCAACAACATCAGCATGTGGGTGAGCTTCTGCATCGGCAACGGCATTCTGGTCAGTTTGTATGCGACAGAATATTATGCCCGTTACAACTGTTCGCCATATTCCGATTACTATGCGGACTTGCTTCTACCGCGAAGCTGGAACTGTCAGAGGCAACTTGCCGTGTAGGGTGTTCATCTTCCAGCGATGAATTCTTTTCGCGGGATAATTTATTTACCGTTTCAGAGAAACTATTAGCGGGGAATTAATCTCGAAGTGAAAAGTGACGGAGAAGCTCTCCGCTATTATTGTACATATGTTAATAATTGATTATTATGCATAATTACCGGCAAATATATATAATTATTGATTTTGTTAAATTTAATAAATTTCATATGTATCATTATAATATAATATACAATAATATTTATATAAAAATTATGAAATTATATAAAGTTTAATGAAAATTAAATCTATTATTTATTATATATTATTTATTATATATGCCGGTAATTATATATAATTATACAGAAATTGCCAAATTAATTTACGGTAAATAAAATCGCAATAATGACAAAGGATCAATAGGCAACTGATTCGTTCGAATTATTAATATAAAATAATGATTAAAATTTGGTTAAATTTTAAATTGTAATTTCTTAAAACTTATAGAATTTTGTATGGTAATATGTTCTGGTGCATTAAGAACAATTGTGATTTTATATACATATATAAAAAATCCTGTGGTATAAATATAATTATAAAATGCGAAGACAATGATTTATGAAAACATTGATAGCATTTCGAAAAATCTATCACGTCGAAGTGTACTAAAGAATGTACTATGCTAAAGAATTTACACTTATACATTTGTGTTTTCACTTTTAATGCAAGATAGAATTTACATTTATACATTTGTGCTTTCACTTTTAATGCAAGATAAAAAAAAATTTATTAAAATAAATTAAAATGACAAAAGCTACGTTAAAATAACTAATATAATTAAAGAAGAAAGCAGAATATGGAAAAAAATATATAATTGAAAGTCCGAAAGTTCTCTTACGATAAACGATTACGTTCGATCTCGAATTTTATATTAAACGATAATGTTCAAGTTGTAACCATTAAAAGTTCAACACACGAGTATAAAAAGGGATAATCTTTATTATCGAAGCTCTATACATATCCCTCCTGACTGCATGCGTGACGATAAAGAAGACATATGTATGTGTCATCCACTTTATACAAATTAATTTATGTCATATAGTCGATATATATATATATAATACATATACAATTTTCTTCGTGATTTTTATAACTTTTTTCTTTTTTACGTATTATATATATGTATATATACATATAATATTTACATATTTCATATATGTATATAAATAACGTATATATATATATATATATATATATCGCCTATATTATATAAATTAATTTGTATAAAGTGGATGACACATACATATGTCTTCTTTATCGTCACGCATGCAGTCAGGAGGGATATGTAGAGCTTCGATAATAAAGATTATCCCTTTTTATACTCGTGTGTTGAACTTTTAATGGTTACAACTTGAACATTATCGTTTAATATAAAATTCGAGATCGAACGTAATCGTTTATCGTAAGAGAACTTTCGGACTTTCAATTATATATTTTTTTCCATATTCTGCTTTCTTCTTTAATTATATTAGTTATTTTAACGTAGCTTTAGTCATTTTAATTTATTTTCATAAAATTTTTTTTATCTTGCATTA